GATCCCGTTGCAACCGGTATGCTGCAATGGGGCCGGGCGTCCACCACATGCGCGCATGTCCACCCACCGCCCGCGATGCTCCAGCTGCTTGGCGGAGCATCGTACAGGCGCCGTATGCTCCGTGTGTGCGCGCAAATGGCCTGGTTGGGTCAAATACAGATAAGGAGGTCGGGCGGATGGGCCCTCCGGAGCACCATACCAGAACAGTACCTGGTGCTCCCAGCAGGCACAGGTACACCCCTACTGGGGCATACCGGCCGTAACCCACCATTGCTTCGGACCTGCCACATTTAATGCTGTGGGAAATTGGGAGGTGGAATTATATGGAGTGGGGTAGGTATAGTCAAAATAACATTCCTTTCTAGAGAATCAAGGACGTCTTGCACCCAGGGGTGGGATTCAGTCAGTTTGGACTAGTTCGGGCAAACCGACAATCAGCTGAGAGAGAACCGGTTCACTCCAAGGTTCAGGTTGGCCCGCCCACCCGCTTTACTTACCTATATCCTCTCAGCTGATTAGCACTGCAGAGCAGATTGCCATACCTCAGCTGGGCTACTCCCCAAGAAGTAACGTGGAAGGTAAGTTTTGGTAAAACTGTCATGCATGCGCAGCATGACACACTGTCACCGAACTGGTTGCTAAACCGGCAGGATCCCACCACTGCCTGCACCTGGAGTGGTGTGACTGGGAGGCATCTCCAGTTGGGACGGTGCCTGATTGGGCCATGCGATGGACATGTAGGTGCTGGGCATGGACTTGGACTTTCTTTTGGGTGTGGAAAACCTGAAAACTTTCAGATTTGGGATTTCACAATTGTGCCAATATGACATCTGTAATAAAATGGAATTTTGCGGAACTTCAAGCCTCTGAGTCTTCTTTCGTTGGGGATGTTGGAACCCTTGGAATCTTTTAAAGAAAAGATTCATTCCAAAGCAAGTCACCCCCCTCCCTCCAGACTACAGATAGTCCTTGACTTCCAACCACAATTGAGCACGAAAAGGTTTGTTGCTAAGCGAGATGTTTGTTAAGTGAGTTTGTGATTTGTGACCATGCAATTCATTTAATTACAGTGATCTGCTTAACAACTATGGCAACAAAGGTCATAAATTAAGACACAAATTATTTAACAACAGCTTCACATCTTTGTTTAGTTATATAATGGATATAAATGACATCATCTGCACAATCTAATGATGGATCCGCCAAATTGGATTTGAGTCTACCACAATAAAAAGTTGCCTAACTTAGTTACACTCCTGAATGGAGAAACAGAGAACTGTTTGGTTAGAAATACCTCTAACCACTATTTTCCACTATTTCTAACTAACTATTTCCCTCTCCCACTGCCGTGTGGCAACCCTGACGCCTCCAAGATGGCTTCAGCCAGGTTCACTTCAGGGTTGACAAGCTCTTCTAAAGAAAAGATTCACTCCAAAGATGGACACACACCCCTCCAGAACACAGATAATCCTTGACTTACAACCGCAATTGAGCACAAAAGGTGTGTTACTAAGTGAGACATTTGTTATGTTTTTGCCTCATTTTATGGCCTTTCTTGCCACAATTGTGAGGTGAATCTCTGCAGTTGTTAAGTTAGTCACAAGGTTGTTAAGTGAATCTGGCTTCTCCATTGACTTTGCTTGTCAGGAGATTGTAAAAGAGGGTCACTTACGGGGGGCTGCTGGGGGTTCACAGAGGTTGGGAGAACAATAGCAATAGCAGTTAGACTTATATACCGCTTCATAGGGCTTTCAGCCCTCTCTAAGCGGTTTACAGAGTCAGCATATTGCCCCCACAGTCTGGGTCTTCATTTTCCCCACCTCGGAAGGATGGAAGGCTGAGTCAACTTGGAGCTGCTAAGAATTGAACTGCTGGCAGTGGGCAGAATTAGCAATAGCANGCAACTGGCAGTTGGAACAGAGTTCCTTTGAGGTGGGGAGGGGGAGTAGAATGTCTAACTCCTTAGCATCAGAGTGTGTTAATATTTTATAAGGAATACTAATGATCTGATGGTCATTTCAGAAAATCATTTCTTAGTGAGTACCTAGAAGCCAAGAGGAACATATGTGCCAAATTTCAAGTTTATAGGCTTTACAGTTCTGGAGATTTTGTGATGATGTGTGAATGGTATTTCACGTTTATAAATATAGATGGGAAGAGATCAGTGAAAGCAATAAGTGGCCACAAAATACTGACTTGATCGTTGGAGGAGGGAGGTAGAAAATGAAGGGGAAAAAGAAAGAAGAAAGAAAATATTAACAGCAGAACTTAAAAAGATTCTCCTTACTCCAACAGTTGTGTTTTGAAGTCTTCCTTAGGTTGACATCTCCCTTCCAGAAGCATTTTACATAGTAAGGAAAATATTCATCTAGCAAGTCTTTACCCAACAACCCTAAGATGCCATGAAAAGAATTCTTGTTTTCTTTATCTTTTCTTTCCGACTTTAATATTGTTTGTTCCTTCCTACTGTAGCTCAGGACTATAAATGATAGCATAAAAGTGATGCAAACTGGTGGAAGAAAAATATGGGGCTTTCTTGGTGGTGGCCCCTTCTTTATAAAGAAGGTGGCCCCTTCTTTAAATCCTTCTTTATAAGGCTGTATCTTAAAAGAATTGGAATCCAAAATTCAAAAACACGATCACTGTCAAAAGTACTGTGACTTGACACTATAGATATAATTCAATTCTTTTCATTTCAGCACCCCAGGCATTCCAGAGTTATGCTGGAACACACATACACACGGACACACACACACCCCAAGAGGTGTTACCAGGTTTGGTTGAAATTGCACATACAGTATGTGTGAGGGGAACTTTTACCTTTTATTAATCCACACTTCACCGGGATAAAGGTGTCCCTTCCCTGTTTTAAACCAGAATTCCCCAAACTAAAGCAGAGAAAAATATCAACAGAAATGCCAGACATGTATATGATATCTCCAAGCAAAATAGCTATTGTCAAAAAATATATAGGAAACTGTCATATGCACCCATAATGGAGGCGAGATTTTTGAATGCTCCATTTTTTAATGACCAGAGTCCTTTGTCAGAAGGTGGGGTTACCTCTGACAGTCTAATTGCCTTGCAATCATCCTAATTTGACCTAATAATGTATGTTTAGCCATCAGTGGAGAAAACCCTTATTATTCAGATTGCCATGTGTATTTAATGTGACATATAAAGACAAGAAGAGGAAGAAAGAGGAGGGGGGAAATGGCTGGGGAAAAAAATAATATACCCTTTGATGCTGCTTCACAAGGGTTGATAGGCAAAGAATATATTTATTCCAGCCCAGTGGAAAATAATAATAATAAAAAGGGGACCAACATTGTAATAAAGCAAATTTGATGGGCTGAATCTGGAGTGACAGCTAATCTCAGGCTGTCTCCTGCTTGAATAAACCTTGTAATCTTTCCAAGAGGGAGCTGACAAAAAGAAAGAACATCAAGTTTGATCACAGGTCTGCAAAAAAAAATTTTTCGAGAGCTGTTTTGGTTATTCCACGTAATTTTTATGTTTTTTGGTGCGCTGAATCCGAAAATGACCTCCATTTTGTCATAGGACATCACGTTTCCTGACAATTTANACCAAATGTAGCCAAAAACACAAGGCACGGAGGAGGCGATGTTCTTTGGCAATCCCTGCAGCCTGGAACAGGTGATTGGGGGCATTTTGGGAGGCCAATCCACCCGCCAATCAGCTGCTCATGCTGAATCAGGCTGCAATAATGTGCTGAAGCTGACCTGGCTGTTCACTATTTGATGCAAGGACGTGCCAGAGTTTGCAGCAGCAATCACATCCAGAAAGCATACAAGTAACTGATTCAGCAGGATTCAATAATTTCTTTTTATATATATAATATAACACATTAAGTAAATATACAATACCAGGTTTTCCAATGTGGTAGTTAAGCAGAGAAGTTTCACTTTCAGTTTTAGTTCCTTGTGGCTCACACAGCAAATACTATTTGTTTTCAAACAGCCCTCAACTCTCTCACACACTGACAGGACGCTAGCCACATGAATACCATGGATGCTGGCAGACAGAGGCAGAATATTTTTTTTCTTATTTTCCTCCTCAAAAACTAAGCTGCATCTTATATTCCGGTGTGTCTTCTAGTCCAAAAAATATGGCAATAAAATGAGTGTGAGCATGCTTTATACATAGCTATTTTTGTGTCTTTCATTGTTAGTCTTTCATACTGGTGCTTTACAATAAACTATATACCACTCATTATATTTTTTTTAATTATTCTATTTCTTTTTCATATGATGAGCTCTGAACTGATTTGACTTTGTCCATAGCTGGGGTAAACATTATTACCACACCCTCAGATTTTGTTGCAACCAATGCCTACTGAATTGAGATCTATAACATCAAGGATTAGTGTATTTTTATGCTTTTACTGTGTATACAGGTAGTCCTTGACTTACAACAGTTCATTTAGTGACCATTCAAGGTTACAACGGCACTGAAAAAAGTGACTATGATTATTTTTCACAGTTAGAACCTTCATAGCAGATCCATAGTCAGGTGTCAAAATTTGGATGCTTGGCAACTGATTCACATTTATGACAATTTCAGTGTGCTGGGATCATGTGATTTGCCATTTGCAATTTTCCCAGCCATCTTCTGACAAGCAAAGTCAATGAGGAAAGCTGGATTTGCTTAATGAATGTGTGATTCACTTAACAACTTTGGTGATCCGCCTACCAAACATGGCAAAATGGTCATAAAATTGGACATGACTCAATCGCTGCCTTGCTTAGCAAGAGAAATTCTGATTTTCAGTTGTGGTCATAAGATGAGAACTACCTGTATTGGTTCTTATAAGTCCAAATGCTACAACTTTACATACAAACCAAGTTATATCCATGTCAACTGATAAATTCATGGACAAGTAGATATAATTTTCTGAGCAATAATATGAAGGTATTTTGGTATTAGCTTCTTCTGAGGTTTTTTTTTTTTTTTTTAATTTATCAAAATACAANGGGCACACTTTAGTGGACCGCGGTTTTGACGGGTCACGATTTTTAATTACATTAATGTAGGCCATCTTAACATTATGTTTTCAACCAAAACTTACAAATTATCTAATGAAGAGAAACCTGTAGCAATTATTTTTCTGGGTAAATGATAGATGAATTGTAAGAAAACCCTGATTCCATGACACAGAAGCCATATATAACAATGTAGAAACTGTAGGCCTCAGAGGCTGGTGGAAACGTCAGAGGAAGATTTCCCTCTGATTCCTGACATCTCCTACAATACAACACAGATTTTCAGAATAAATTAGTAATTTGTAAAGCACTAATACAATAGAAAGGGTAGCAAAACTGTATCTCAGCAGTAGGACATAAACTTGTATGTAAAAGGTATTTAACAAAATTCTTGATATTTCCTGTAGATATTGGAAAGAAACTTTAAGAAACTGCTACAAGAAACATAAAATACTGAGCCAAAAACAGTGATTCAATATCTTCCATTTTCTTCTAATTATCAATTTAAAATTGATATTTTACTGTAAAAAAACACCTACATTTAGCTATTTTTAAAACTATTCTTCCCCAAGGCAAAACTAACTCCATTAATGCAAGTATTTAATTTTAATACAAGTGATCGCAATCTTTTTCACCCACAAAATGATTTTGCGATCAATTGCTTTTTGACCCAAAATGTGATAGAAATAGATTATATATAGAATAAAAATTCTTTTCTGTATTCTAATCATGGTGATTGCAATAATACTTCCATTCAGCAAATGTATTTACTCTTACTAAGTAAGAGGACATTCATGCAATCTTAAATAATTTAAGTAATTTTTATTAAAGTTTGTGATACGACTGCAGTCTTAAATACTTACTTCTTCATGAGATGTAAGAAGGTGTATAGTTTTCATTCTGCATGGTCCTTTAACGAGCATTTCACAGAATCTTAAGAAGTTGTACAACTATAGAAAATTAAACAAGATTAATTTTTCAGATGGAAAAGGGCAACATGTCTTGATTAAATGCAGCAGCGCTATCTCACCTGATGAGTTTGGCGAATGTAAGGATCCTCAACCCAAACCTCTGTAACAGTTTCATTTAGATACTCTTGGAACAGTTTTTCATAGCTGAATCCTTTGCTATTCTCTTCAATTTTTATTTGTTTGTGGCATTTCCCATCTAAACACAAGAACAATCTGTCACTAAGCAACCTACCTCATTTACAGTTAAGGCTAAATTAAAAAGATCTTCCATTATAACTTCGTACCTTCTTTTTCCTTCACAACACATTTTTTAATTCCTTCAGCTCTGTTCATGTAACTTGATATTTTGTTTCTGTAGTAAGCCTTTTTCTTCTCATCTTTTGTAGCTGCAAACAGAAGATATGAAAGAAATGGAAAATTCGTTTCATTTTTTTCAGGGCAGTTGAAAGTATAGGTAGTCCTCGATTTACAACAACAATAGGGACCAAAATTTCCATTGTAAGTCATTGTAGTCTTAAGTTGAGTGGGATATTCTACAACAAACTTCAAGCAAATCCAGCTTCAATGCTTTTTGCCATTGGCCAAAAAAGTTGCATATTGTGATAATGTGACCACAGGAAGCTGCAACTGGCTATAAATGCAAGCCAGTTGCCAAGTGCCTGATTTGCAATCGTGACTGCAGGTGTGATATGATGGTCACCACAAGTGGAAGTACAGGTCATAAGTCACTTTTTCCAAGGCCACTGAAACTTTACAGGGGTCGTCCACATATGACCATTCATTTAAAAATGGTTAGTTAAATGAATGGTCATAAGTAAAGGATACGAATGTGTTTTGAGATCTAATTAATAAAGTGATTAGTATAATTCCTAAAAATGTATAATACAAGGTTTTTCCTTCAGAGGGATATATGTTCTTAGAAAGAATCTTTGTGACATTGAATTACCATATGACTGCTCGGAGTTGCACCGCACAACCCATCCACAAAGCAGCTTTGCTCACCCAAGCTCTGCAGTGTCCCATTGTGTTGTGGAACACTGCAGAGCTCAGGTTAAGAGCGAACACCATTCCATTGCTAGGCCATGAGGTATGACTGTGGATTGAATTGCAGCTACTCAGAAAATGGCAGCTCGCTCTGGAATTGCTCCACACAGCCCAGTATGGAGCAGCTTACTTTACTCCCCTAACTTGAGCTACGGTTCTCTTTGAAAGGTAAGTACGTGATGGATGACCCTGAATGAGGAGGGCCTGGGCCCCAGAGATATGGGAAGCAGGATCAAGGCCTGCAGGGACTCTGAAGGTTAGAAAGTGGAACATGGGATACCTCAGGGTGTAGGGGAGACCCATGGCAGATCTTGTACTAGGCCTCCCCTGGGCCCCTGAAGCACCCTATGCTTCATTTAACAACCACATTGGGAAGAGTAAGGATGTAAGATTCCATCTTAATGCGAATTTTCTAAGATGATTTTATATGAGAAGAGGGAAGGGAAATCATAGATGAAGATAATAGCTGTAGTAGCCAAATAACACATGGCATTTTCAACACAATACAGATAGTCCTTCGCTTAATGTCCAATTCTTCAACTGTTCCAAGTTCCAGATGAGGGGGATCTATGACAGGTCATTGTAATTGCAGCTATTGTAGCATCCCCATGGTCTTATGAGCGCAATTCAGGCACTTGTTAATCAGTTCACAATTAAAATGTCACAGCATCCCACAGCCACATGATTAGCATTTGAGACCCTCACTGATGGCTTCCAACAAGTAGTCAGTAAAGAAACAGGCATAGACTTGCAAATGGCAATTGCATGACCTTAGGATACTGAGACCATACTAGGTTTGTCTAATGACAGTTAGTGGAAGTGCTAGAATTTCTATCACAGATAAGCACAATTACATGATGGTGTTCTTTACAATGATGTCACTTGGCAACAGTTCCTAATCTCAATTATCATTGGTAGTTTTCTTCCAGGAAAGGATGCAATTGGTATATCCTCTATGGTTGACAGAATTTTGTAGCTATTATCTCCGTTTGAGAAAACAGAAGATCAAAATGTAGAAGTATAGAAATGCCTTCCATCTCTGAAACTTGTTTCCTTAGCATTCATTCAGTTTGAAATATTCCTCATTTAGTTTCTAAAATGCATTGGATCCAGAATGCGGAACTACAGAACACCATCCAGAAATTTCTGCTTAAAAATTACATAATCTGAATTTATTTGAATTAATATTATACTTTCAGTCTATTTCCCATTATATTTTATAAAATTTACAATAGGAGCAGGCATATCCCAGACTCGGGGGCATGTCAGAATATTTCTAACGAAATCAGAATCAGGAAAGGGATCAATCCCAACACAAGCATATTACAAATTTACAATCTGAATGACTTAAACAGAGTGCAGGAAGTGGACCATCTACCGAATTAGACGCTCCTAAACAAGTACAGGACAACAAATATTTTGATCAAGCCCAGTTCTATAGGTGAGGAAGGTACACCTCCTGCATTAAATCCTGCAAACTTTTAAATACTAAGCAAGGTGAACAGATCAAATGCAGGTCTTCATTCTGTGATAAAGATCCCTTACCATTAGGATTTCCGCGTTCAAATGCAATCCATCTCTGGCTATGCACAAAGCAAGCAAATTTATTTTTCTGGCTTATTGAGATCGGCGAAATGTGGCACTGAACAAACCTCCTAGTTCAGGGGTGGGAAGACGAAACTCTCACCTTTCAGCACATTGAGGAGGAGATCGATCCCTTCCTGGTAGCAAATCAGCGACTCCTGAAAACGCGAAGCCGAATCCAGTTCCACCGCCCGCTTCAGCACCGCCGCCGCCGAATCCTCCATGTCAATCAGCCCTGCACGAGTCACGACACTTTTCTCTGCGGGGGGCCGGGATCTTCGCCGCCCCCGCCCCAAATGCAACAGCCCGTGCCCAACGCGGCAAACCCGCAAAAGCCAAGCCCTCCATCCGACCCGCCAAGCAAAATAGAAAAGAAGCGAGGGTGCCCCGCCCTTTTCTGCTCACGTGATTTCAAAGAACCGGAAAGTGAAAGCCTAGGAAGAAAGACCCGTAGCCAAGTCTCCGGCCCTTCTCCTCCCGGGGCTCCGGAGGAGGAGACTTTACACGTGATTGTGGTCTCTTTTCGCGAGAAGGTGAATCGGCGCCCTAAGATGGCAGCCTGGCGGTGTTACGTATCCGCTTGGCAGGTGAGAAGCATGGAGATGATTAAAAGATTTCTGTAAATTTCATATAGTTGTGTTATTGGGAAGAGAATTGCAGAAGCTGCAGAAATTCCTTGATGTTGCTGAACGCCTTGCTGGAGCTGAATGAAGCATAGCTGTAATCCTTAAATGTGTTTTTAATTAGAAGCCCCAATTCTGGGGAAAATTAATGTCTTGGAGACTAGCAAGCGTTCGTGTGTACTTTCCAATTTAGCTGATTTAATGTACGTGAATGTCTGGTATATGATGTGCTTCCTGTGAACCTCTGATGTTTTTGATTTTCCAGGAATATAAAATGATAGCTTCTTAGTACCGTAGAGTTAATATATGTGCACATGCATTTTGTCATTATTGATTTATTTGAAACTTTGATATGTTTGACTGTGTTATGTATTAAGCTCTGAAGTATTGTTTTCTGCTTTTTTTTTTATGCTGCAGAATCTGACAAAAAGCGAAGCAATCCCTTGGGGAATATGGATTCGGCAGAAATTTACAAAGTCTCGAATTCCAGAATCAGTAAGGCTTGGGTTAAAAAATAATCAAATATTAGCTATAAATTAAAATGAAAATACAAATGAAGTGGTCAAAATATGTTCTTTACTACATAAATTCTGTTGTGAAAAGATAATTTCATCTTTGTACTTTTAGAATTGAACTATGTAGCTCTGAACTGGTCAGAGCTTAACTTTCTTTTTGTTTCTGATGTGCCTTCCTGGCTACAGAATCCATACTTAAGCCATTATTTTATTTCACCTAGTTTCTTGCTAATTAATACATCCTCTTTATAGCGTTCTCTACTCTAGCTGGTAGAGTGAGTCATTTTTATATACTCTATCTTAATCCCAAATTTGACCTTGCTGTAATCTCTTAAACGACATGTAACCAATTTACTAGCCAGTAACTATGCCAGTAAATAATAAATAGTGATAGAAAAGGAGGAGAACCCCAGCCTAGTTTAAACATGGAAAACTAAACATAACTTTAAACTGTGACTTTATCTGGGATGAAATGAGGGCAAACTGTTTAAAAATGATTATTTGGGCATCTTTGTGCCATGGTTAATGTGAAGATAAGCCCCAAAATCATTAACTGGTTTTACTTATTAGATTGGTTAATAGTGAGAGTTTAACTTATTTTAGGTATTTCAACCACGACCTGGTGATCATGAAAAATATGGTGGTAATCCAGAAGAGCCTCATAAACTACATCTTATCACCAGGATCAGAAGTGGAAGAAGGCGTCCTTATTGGGAAAAAGATTTGCTTGAAGAGCTTGGATTAACAAAAGTATGTAACTAATTTACAGTATTCAGATATTGTTTTCCACCTCTAATGCTCCATACATTTTAGTTGTATGAATTTGTGCTTGTGGAGTTAATAATTTGGACAAAGTGGCTGTCTATGACTGGATTTTGAGTTATTTGGCCACATACTAAAAATAATTTGTAGCTGGAACAGCTCCATGTCACAACAAATTAGAATACTGACTAAACATTTGAGTTCATTTTCATTGTAAGGCAGAAGGTTGGTATCAAAAGAGAATCTTGATTTGCAATTGCTTATTCCAAATACAGTGTTTATTTGGCAACAGCATGGAAATCATCTGCCTTTTTTTTACTTTCCAGTGTAGCCTATAGTCCTCATAACTTCTTGTACTTTTGATAGAAGAGAATATTTGTAGCTCAGGGTTGAACTGTTCTTGGTGCTCTCTGAGCTTGATTGCTTTCTTGCAGATGTTTCATTACCAAACTAGGTAACATCATCAGTGCTATACAATCCTTATAGTTTGCCCCAAATCCAACCTTGCATAGTTTCCAGGCCCTGATTAAGTGTTAGCACCCACTGAATTCAACATTAGCTACTTCTAAGTAAACTATTATTTTGAGCTGTTTAAAGCAAATTTAGTCATCAGTTTGGAAAGAACAATAAATTATACTAAAATTAAATCCATCTGAAAATAGCATTATTAGTTGGGGATAATTGCATCCTGCCAATCACAACATTCTGTCCTTGCCAGGTGGTTGTTGTGAGAATTTCTTCCTATCTTAGGTTTTAAGATATCCTTACACCACCACTTCAGCTTTACTTTTGCTTTCATGGAAGCATTTTGATGTCAGTGTTAGAACTGGCAATATCTTCGGGGTCTTACCAGTGGTGAAATACAATTTTTTTTACTACCGGTTCTGTGGGTCTGGCTTGTTGAGTGTGGCAGGGGAAGGATACTGC